AGTGTGCATTTTATTGTTTGTGAACAATTTTTATGTATCTCTTCGTTAGAATACTCGTTACTTACTTTACAGCTTTGATAATAGTGTGTTATTTTAACGTTAATTGTTCTTCTATTTATAATATTATATAAATGATCTGTTTGTTTCGTTTAATGCAATTATTTGAATCGAAGATAACTGTTTAACCTGTTGCTTTATCCTCGTGTATCTTACGCCCTGTATAGGTACTACTAGGAAAGGTCGCGTGCCTTTTGCGGTGACAGAGAGGAATGGGCGAGGGTGAGGTTCTTCGAGGAAGAAGGTACAAGGGAATTGATGCGCTTGTAAGGAAGAGAAAACACTTAAAAAAAAAAAAAGTAAAAGGAAAAAGAGAGAGTGAGAGATAGAGAGGGCGATTAGGGCAGATTTTTAATATGGTCGGGTGCCCGAGCAAAGAAGGACGTCACTGGCTACAGCATTAGCAATGCTGATGTCTCAGAGACGGTCAGAGCTAACCTATGACCTCTTCGTATATATTTTATCTTCTCTCTTCGTCGGCATCCACGTATGTTACGTATCGTACGTTATATAGTTACCATGCACACGTACAATGAAACACAACAAAATCGAAAGGTGGTATTTTTTCGAGTCAGAATGAGTCAGTCATTTGTACGAAACTTTTTATGTCAGTTTGTTACTTTAGTTTCTTCTGTCTTTTGATTCTGTCAAGGATCTTTTAAAATTTTCAAAAATTAGTAGACCATACTTATTGTCAATTCACAATTAGCTTATTTATACTTTTTCTATTTTTTTTGAACGAGCAATTTAACATTGTATTTTGTAAAATATAAAAGTATCAGGTATTAATGAAATAAACGTGAACGTGGAAAGGTATAAAAAATAATAGCTGTGCACAGACATGTATATATACACACTTATTATTATATCTTATTATAGAGAAGCAAGTTGTGAATACGCGCGATCTCACGTAGTTCATATACGAGCAAGAGAGAAGGACGAAAACGAATCGTTATATCGTGGTGGAGGTCCTCGGGTTACTCCGGAGAAATTATGATGTAACACACGGCAATGCTTCGGCTTACGCAACGCGTACGTTGCCTCTGTATTATATCGTGAAAATCGAGAACCTTGGCCGTTTGGACGATTTCAGGAGGCGGTACCTTGGATATATTTCTTTTTTTTTTTTCCTACCTACGAACTTTAATTCTGCCGAAAGTCAAAAGTATGCTGAATAATTTCACCGATTTAATGAACATCTTGATAGAAACTTTTTCTTGGGCAAACAATTTCGCGTATGAGATAGAGTTTTTACCTTGCTATAAGAGAGAGAAAATAGAGTAACTGTTTATTCTAGGTTTATTTACGTTGAAATTATGTTCGCCCGATGTTCGCCACCTTAAGAGGAAAGTCTATTGCCAGTACCTATCATTAACTTTCTTCAGTAAGGATCAAGAACAAAGCTAACGAGCGTACGGAGGATGGTCATTTTCTTGTGATAACTTAAGACCCTGTTTCCATAGATTTTTCTATCGTTCTTTTTTAGACATCAAACGATATTCTCCGAAGATTCTGCGAAATCGTTGTCAGGGTGATAAGCGTATCGCGAAAGTTCATCAGAAAATGGCTCGTTAATTTGAATAAACGAGAAATGAGAAACTGACATAAAAAGTATGCGAAGCTTCTAAATCCGGTTCATGTAACTCTTCCTCTTGGAAGCGATGATGAAAGTCGAATAAGCTTTAAAGACTATTGCTTGACTATTGCTTGACTATTGCTTGACTCGCGTCTCTCTTATGTTACCTTTCTCACGACACGCATCGTGAAAGTCCATCGTACTTTTATATGAACTGAGTGAGTCTTTCAAATATTCGCTCACTTTTCTTCTAGCTGCGACTATATTTTAGTATTAGATATAATTTATTTATGCATTTAATGGCGACAAGGAAACTACCGTTGTCCTTTAGTAAACGGACGTAATTTCGATGACCTTCGCGATCATTGGGGAGATACGATGTAGAGGAATCTTAAGAGAGGCGCCGTTGAAGTATAGAATATGCATAGGTTTCTTTGGAAATCTGTTTCATTCCGTGTACACAAGAATGTAGAGTTTCTTGAATAATTTATCCCAACGTTCCATTCATATCATACCTGCTGCGTTTATTGAAAGAAAAAAAATTTCAAATGGAAGAGGACGATTAATATTAATCGATATTTACCTCTTATTTTTTTATACGGGTATGCAACTTTTATGTTAAAAAAAAAAAAAGGTATTACGTGACGATGTAAATGTTTCCTATAATTAAATAAAAACTAGCGAGTGAGAGAGAGGATAAAACGTTTCAAATATGCGATGGTAAATCGTATAGACGCGTGTTGTTACTCGTGCTTAAGAGCAAATTTGCAAATTACCTATCGTACAAGCACTCCTGCTATTTCTCGAGTATGTTAAGAACGAAGGATAACTGGTCGTCATTGCAAGGCGAATAATGAACGTATGATTTGTTTCAAGATTGAGCGGGTTACTTCGACAGCGAAGGATAACGAGCTGCTTCTCGTTTTTATAAGAACATCGAACAATGTAACAACGAACCGAGGACTCTATTCTCTTTCTGTCTCTTTCTGTCTCTTTGTAAATCTACTTAATTGACCTATATCGATTTTCAGAAATGTTTCCCTTATTTGGAAATGTCCGATTATTTCGTTCTCAATATTTTTTTTTATTGATATTTTTTTTATGAACATTGAATTTATCTAAGCCTTTGATATGTTAATAAATTAAACACGTTTATTGAATTATCATAGTTGCTCGGTTACTTTTCTCTCTAAGTAAGCTTGATGTTAACTAAGTCAAAGTGATGATAGTTTAAAGCCAAGCGTTGCACTTAAAAAACAATAAAAATCGCGTTAACTATTCTTAGATGGAATAATCATTGAAACTAAGCATGGGAGATTCGATTCAGCTGAAAGGAATTAGGCTAGACTCATCCAATAGTCATCGGTTAGTGATTTTGTTGGATGATTCGATTGTAATGTATCTTTGGACGAGTCATTCTCCGTGTAATCATCAAAAGCAATTTCAGCTAATTACTCTTACAGTGAACAAACGCGCAACATCTCATAAATCTTTCCACTCGTGTCTTACAATTTCCGATAAACTATTATTTGTCGTAAGTATAGGATCTAAAGGAAAGGATCGATAGATCTATCGTTGGAACGAACGATCTCGTACGATGTCGTATCGAAGATATCGATCGTAATTGCTTCCATTGGCTGCCAATAAGAATTATTTTCGGAGCGTCGATCGTCTCACGAGTTCACGCCACTTACCAAGAGTGTTTGTTCTTTAGCTGATGTTATAAAAGCACATCTGGTTTATTAACCTTGCTCTTTGACTATTCTCAACTTATCTATTTCCTTTTGGTAGCGTTATTCAATGACTGTCGCTATTATCAAGACTACAAAATCAATAAAAAGCCAACTATAAGGTTTATAACTTTAAGCAATCATTACATTACGTAATTTCGAATATATTTATTTATATAATACATTACACGTTATACTTATAGTCAATCAAAGTGAATTTATTTGATCTTATTGAAAGATAAAAGAAGAAAGAGTGACATTTTTGTTTTCTTTTTTTTAAGAAACTCGCACGACCGGTCATCGATGTTTCTTCTCTTGTACACGTATCCTGTGTCATTTGCTTCCTGGATTAGATGCGAGCTGACGGTGCATCAAACTCGAAAACCGTTCTCCGTAAAATAGAAAGAGATAGATGGATAGATTAGATAAATCACAAATAAATAGATAGACAAATAGATATTGTATATAGAATAGAGAAGTTAAGAGAGAAAGCTAGAAGAGCTTTATTCGAGAAGGTAATTTCCCCCGCCCCCTCGCGCCATTTCTTCGGCTCGATCGAGCCGTCCGTCCGTTCGTACTCGTGGCTTCCGCTCGATTTCTGATGCGTTACGCTTTGCTAATCGTTTCGCACGACCGAACGATATCGATATCTCTCTTATATTTGTGCGCGCTAACATACAGGGTGTCCCTTAACAACAAAAAATATCGATGATATGTGAAAAGAATCTATACAAAATTTCTTTCAAGTAGAAAATATCTTTTTTTCTTCACCGATCAAAGTATGACTTCAACATTTTTTAGATCATTCAAAAGAAAGAAAATATTAAGGTAGGACACCCTGTATATTGGGGGCAGGAGTCAAGCTCTCCGGCCTTCTTGTGTGGTCTATTCACCTTCTCCCCCCCCCTCCCCCTTCCTCCCTCCTCCTTTACCCCTTTGAGCTTTTCTTTCTCGTTCCTTGACTTTTTATTTTACAATAACTTTTCTACACTCCTCCTCCTCGTTCTTTCTATTTACTATGTATTCGAGATATCTTTTTCTGTCTACAACTTGCTACAGAATTCTCTCATTTTTTGCGAGGAATTCCTCACGCGATTTTCTCGTTTTCTGTCACGATTCGCGAGAAGAGGTTTTTTTTTTTTTAACGACATTATTAAGATAGATTTCATTAAAGGTGAAGATTCATTTGCATCTATCGTTACTTAGGAAGATAAAGGTAAAGAGAGGTCGATTGTATTCTTGTGAATTTTTTTTCCTCGGAGAGATCGAAAGTGTTAATTGTTTGGATCAATGAAAGGATTCGCAAAAGTTAAAGAGAGGAAGCACTGTCTACGACGATCACCATGAATGACGATTTACAGACTTTGACGACTTTCTGAGGTCTTTCCAACAATTTTGTAAGAATAATCGCATTGTCGGTTAACCTGAATTTCTCAAATATCTACTCTTGACGCTTGATACAACGTCGCCTTTTTTCAAAAATGATAGAAAGAAGCATTGGATTACTTAAATTTTACCTTCTTCGTATCATAGTTTAGATTTTCTTCGAATATTAGTTATTTAACGATCACTCGATTTTGTGTTAAACTTTTTCGGTATATTTCAATAACAAGGGTACTTTGAACTTCCTTATCCAGACTTCAGGAAGGTGTACGACCTCCCGGAACGATTTCTGGAATTGCTGGATCTTCCGTAACGCGTGATGAACTGGACCACGAGGTCGTGCCGGATACCGTTAAGCAGAGAAGTAGCAAAAAACGAGTCCAAAGCCGTCGTACATGTTTCTTTTTCTCGTCATGCTCATTACGACTTTTAATCATTTTCCTTCGATTGGATTCATCCTCACTCATTCGATATTATTGAAATAATAATAATAATAATAGATCATCAATCATATTTCTCTCGATGAACTATTTTATTCAATTAGAAATATCTAAGTGTAAAGAGTGTGCGTTAGGGTGATTGTCCCTTGAACCCGAAAGACCGAAATACACAAATGATATGTGTGCATATGTACATACGTTAGCAACATGAAATTATCAGCATCATACGTAACTATGCATACATGCAGGAGAATAAAGTACATTTTGATGCGACTTGTTGATTCAAAGATGAGATATGCTATAGTCTGTATCATGAGATTAACAGGGGAAAAAAAGAATAAAAAGGAAATGAGTTGCGCGTAATAGGTTCGACTTGTCCTAGTAAAAGTTAGTTAGAGATTGTCGGTTGCACGTTTAGACGATGACTAGGCAACGATTAAATTCTACAAATGGCATTGCTAAGGATTCCAGAGACACTTTGCTTTAATGTCAAACATTTACTTAATACTTTTTGTAAATAGTCCTAATGGGATTGCTAGGAGATCGATTTTAAATAGCGAGTATTTTTTACAAATTTGATTTTATGATTCCAAATTCATAGGTTATGTTGATTCTTCTCAATGATGAAATGATGTAATTGTAAAAGATTGGCTAAGCGATCTAGCAATGGAATGCTCGGAAAGAAAGACATTAGACTTTCTTGTTGGTCTATGGAATTTTGTTGAGTAAAAAAGTATAATGACGGATAAGGGGCAGATCGAAAATTGTTCCTTGATTAAAGACTCCAAGTGCTTACTTTCGACGCGCGAACGTTAATATGACGTCCATCGTAATTATCCTCTCCGCTGAGGTTTCCGAAGAAGTACTATACTCTGAAGAGAACTTAAGAAGAAGGTAACGAAAATTATTGGCGTGATTCTAAAGGAAAGAAACTTTCATAAAAACATCTTGGTATCTGGACTCGGGATCTTACGATTTATTTTCTTACAAAGTACTACGTCCGTCGAGCGTGTCCGATCGCTCGTTCGCTTAAGATCTCTTCAGATTCTTTCCTATAACACGTGGATCACGTATCGTCATTTTTTGCCTAAACATTGACGACGATGCTTTGTACGATGCTTTGTACGATGCTTTGTACGATGCTTTATAGTTAATAAACTTTTGACCAAGCTATATCTTTATTTATTGCAGATGCTTTTGATGCAATGCTGTTGATGCAACGTCTGAGTAAATAAGTCGTAAGTATCTTGTATTTGTTTAATATCAATTTGATCAATTGATTTTTCCCTTGTCTTCGTAGTTGAGAAGGTAACACAACAAATGTTCGTGGACAAATACTTTTATCAATCTCACAATCAGTAAATTCTTCTCGGTTGATGCTCCCACGTATATCTAGTTGTGCATTGAAATCTCAAAGTTATTGGCCATGACCTGCCAACGCCCACACTGGGATCTGGCAAAATGCTACGACTGCTTTGCGCAGCGCGTACCTACTTAAGTCTCATTAAATAACGCGTCTGTTTGCAAATTAACCGTAGAAGTAGCTACGGTACTATATGGTACACACGCATATATACACGCGCAAGAATAAGCGTAAGAGCAAGCGCACGCGCACGCGCACGCGCACGCGCACGCGAGCACGCAATCGGGGCCTTCGAACGTGGGTAAAACGAAGGACGGTGAGAAAAGTTTGTTAATCGAACGGACACGCTCGACTCGTCGAGATTAAGTAATTCTTTTTCTAGACACGTGATACTCCTCTGCTTATGCTGCTTACTTACCTATCTCTTTTCAGAGCTTTCGATTAGATTAGGAACTAAGAAATTTGTCGACCTTCAAGGTTTCAATTATCAGTTTCGTTGCTTTTTGCAAAGTTTATTATAACGTTTGGCGAATACTTTTTACAATTTTCCATTTCCTGTATCATTTGAATCGAAAATTGGTCTTTTATTACACGTCCTTCGTATACAATGTTTGTAGAAATTACACGATCCGTAGGATCGTTCGATCGATCGATCGGGAGAGTTCAACGCTCGTGTTTTCTCGCGCGTGAAACGGTGTCTTTTTTCGAAATATCTGTGTAACGCGTTCCACGGGAATCACCGGTATGATGACGTCACTGACCGGACGGTAACAGTATGTAAAAAAGATGCAAATAATACTTGCTACCCTCCATTCTTTCCTCGATTTCACTTTTTCTCTTTTTTTTATACTTATTTTTTTCTTCTTTGCCGTTTCCACTTGTCGTTTGTGTATCACCTTCTTTTTCTTTTAGATACTTCTTCATTTTTAAACATTTATACATGAAATATGCATGGGACGAAGGTTAACACATAACAGGCAAGACGAATCAGAAAATATTCCTTTTTCCTTCGTTGACGATGACTTTACGAAAATGATTAACACGAGAGTAAAAAGACCTAATCGTAATACTTTGCATGGCTTGACAAGATTTTATTGCAGATTCCTTGATAGAATATCAAGGTTGACTAATTCAATTTAATTTTTCTTACTACAATTTCTTAAGCATTCTGTTTCATTCCATTGTATGAAAGTGAGCTTCTTCTTATCTTATGAGACCTACTTTGACAATCACCCAGGCAACGATAATCATGATTATCCGCTGATAGCAGTCCTGATAATCGGTCATGTTCATTTATTTTGTCGTCAATGATATACGATTAAACTTTCCGACGATGTGTTAATCAATCGTCAACTCATTAAAACTTTAAATTCACACCCATCTACATAGTATTCATTTTTAACATTAAAATAGACTATTATAAAACGAACGTAATCGAAGATTTCTTCTTCGTTGCAGATAGATCAGACGAAAAAATGAAGACAGTTGGGAGCTTCATCTCGTTCCTCCTCATTATTCTGCATAGTTCGAGATTGACAAATTGTCTGTGCAATTTGGAGGACGTAACGGAGATGCAATGTGACAGATTAGAGGACATCGAATATATCGACGCTCATCAGTTGGAAAAGTTGAAAGTCAGCGTGATCGGCAGTACTTTGAATCCAAAGATTTTCAAAAACTTGAACAATTTGAAGCATTTGGATTTATCCGGTGGCAATTTGAAACGAATAGAACCTGGTACTTTTCGAACGTTGACCAACTTAAAGAGTCTTGACCTTGCTAACAACCAATTACAATACTTGAATTTGTCATCTTTGGAAGGGTTGCAAGAGTTACGTAGTTTGAATCTTCGAAGGAACAATATCAGTCAGTTGCCAGTTGTATTGCTTCTTCTGAAAAATTTAAAACATTTAGACATTCATGGTAATCCACTTCAATGTAATTGCGCAACGTTACACGTGAGAGACTTGTTGTTGTCGAGAAGTGTTAAGTTGTCGAAGAAGGTTACATGTGCTGGGCCGATTGGTTCGAAAGGTACGTCGTTTATGAAATTGGAGACGCGGAGGATTTGTAAAGAGGAGCAAGATGACAAGGAGATGCAGGGTGATCAGCCATATCAGGGATCAGGAGACTTTGGTTCTGGCGATATTTCTGCCCTTACGGATCCGAATGACGACGAGTCTTTAGATGTTTCGGAATATTTCGAGAAAACACATATTGAAGAAATTGAAACTCCAGCTCCGGAGATAAATTCGATATTTAACGTGGAACCATCGACGACAGTGGAGGTTAGTCCAGCGAGTAACAGTGAAACTCCAGTTTCAATAACGCCAACCGAAGCATCTCTGGAAAAGTCTATAAAAGAATCCGAAGAATTGTTCTTTGATTCCGAGGATCAGAAGCACCAGATTACTACAGAAATGTCACAGAAAAAAAAAGTGAAGGATAGTTTGTTTTATCCCGTTGAAGGATCGGGAGATGAGGGTTCTGGCTTAGAGGGTTCTGGAATTGGTTCAGTGTCCAACGAAGATGACGAAAGTGATGAAAAAATAAGAGACAATGGAGCTTATGTATCGAGCACTTCAGAAGAAAGTATTTTTTCTATGATCCTTAGTGTATTTACCGATACGGATTCTACCACAGAAAAGAAAGAACCTAGTATCGAAGAAGAAGGTTTCATAAATGCTTCGGTAATAAAAACGTACGATAATCTCGGAGAAATTCCCGTTACAAAGTCAACAACAAGTGTAACTCTTGCAACCGTTCCAGTAGCCTTATCCACAATCGGTCCAAAAATTGTAGAAAGTAGCGAGGTTGAGGACATGTCAGAATCGAGTTCGATCATGGGGGAACCACCCGAGGTTGCTAGTATGAACAATGAATTAGCCGAAGTGTCACCTGCCAAACAATCGAAAAAAGGAATGGGTTCTTATGTTGTTCTGGCTGGTTTGTTGGTCATTCTGGCAGGTTTAGTCGGATTTGCAGCCTATAAAGGTGACTTTTGTAAGAAGAAGAGGAAACGGGGTGACGTGGAGAATGGTACGGAGATGAAAGATATGCAAAAGTCTCTTTTAGATACAGGGAATCAAACGCAACCGAAAATAGCATCGAATGGTAGTCCGGAAAACATGCCACTGGTTGATGGTACGATCGAACACGAGGATACGAAAGATTCTATAAGGTCTCATGAAAGAGACAGAGCTCAAAATGGTCATCCAGATCATATAGACCACGCGGATCCCGTGAAACCTCCCAGAAAAGTACTAAGTACTCAGGAAGATTGTAAACCCGTGCAAGAGGCTCTACAGGATTCGATATCCTCGAAAGACGAATCATTTTCAGAGAGGACAAGTCCGCGTCTTTCCGAACCGAATGGTCCACCCTTGAGTCCTGGAGCTCAAAGAGTAAAGATTACTCTTCAAGAGAATCCAGACAGCGTTCCAAAAACGCCCATACTCATAACGCGAACGTCCGTGGGTGATAATCTAGTCAAAACACCGTGAAACTTAAGGAAGTATCTAACTAATGACGCAACGAAATGCGAATAAAAGAATATCAAGGGAGGTGACTCAAGGGAGTGTATATGGACAACGTGATTGGTTGGTTTCTAGCCTTTACGTGTCTGGGCCACGTTCAAAACATTTTTATTTATATTATAGGACGTTCTATATGTATTATCTATTTTCTTTTTACGACACGTGATTCTTCTATGCGAGAGTGAGCGCGAACTAAGTGGACTTGTACATATCTTTTTTTTTTTTTTCTTATTTGTTTTATACTTTAACAAAATGGATAATTAGGCAAAAAGAGAAAAAAGAGAAAAAAGAAATAAAGAAGAAAAAGAACGCGTGCGTTTAATCGTATAGGAAATTTGTGAAGATTTTCGTCGTACTAGCACACTAGTCAGTCTCCTTCACAGATCTTCCAGTCCTTCCTACCGTTGTATCCTCCGAAATGAACCTAACTAAAAGTGGGGGAAATACAAACGAGATCGTTATTTTTTAATCCTACCTTGCGTATATTATCGTCAAGAGGGTACATTCCAAGCCTGCCATAATAATCCCCCCTTTTGATTTCTTTTTATACCGTATGCTTCTTTCAATGAAATTCCTAATTTTGGCTTTGACCAGCCAAACGAATAAGAGAATCATTTGACGCTCTAGAGATTAGACTTTACATAAGTGTTAATAATTATTTAGTTGCGTTTCTTATTCTTGTGTGGATGGACAAATTGTAATAGCTAGTCGATTGATACGTAAACATCCGTCATGTTTGATTGTTAATAAGACGCAATTCTTTTTCCCTCTTACTCTGATCCTCTTCTTTTTCCTCGAATTTTTTTTCCTTCATACTGCGTGTTTGAGATTAATTAGCGAATAAAATAAGGCTGGTTGTCGATTATAAATGAAAATGAACACAGGAGTTTTTCTGTATTTAATTGTTAGATTTATTACCGATGTCTGTAGATTTTACTAAGTAGTATCATTTGAAAGCGATAATTGAACGATTCGTATGATAATATATTTTTAATGCGTGTTTATCGATTTAGATCAATCGCTGATATGTATCATTCTTTTATGAGAATCATATATGATAAATAATCAATTCGTGAAATTTAAAGACACGATTTATTAGATAAATCGATACGTATATGTATGCATTATTTTTTAGTTCCGTATTTATCGCTACCGACGTTATTATAACACGCTTCTATTGTTTATACCATTTATAATGTCGCATATAAATATACTATATATAGTGAAAGAGAGAGAGAAAGAGAGAGAGAGAGAGAGAGAGAAAGAGAAAAAGATTACGTATAAATTTATTTGCTAACGGACAATAACGTGCATTGCCTTTCTATCGACTTCTATTGACAATTATTTATTCGTTGAAATTATAAAATATATATAATAGGAGAGAGAGATATATTTGATAAGGTACGAGCTTTATGTGAGTTTTAATAATTAGTTAATTCATTTGAGGATTAAGGATTTCGAATGTTCGTCACATTTAATTACATAAATGTATTTACAACGTTAAGTGTATAAATAAGTTTTTGTCGTTAGTATTTCGTACTATCAATCAAAGATCGTTTGTATTTAGATATGTGAGCCAAATAAGCTGATTACATATATATTATTATAATTATTATGTATTATGTATTATGCACTGTGCATTCTAAAAACGTATTTTGGTTACGAAAACATCAAGTTTGGACGTAATCATTGATTAGAAATACGGTTCCTAACTTTGTGAACAACGTCGTACAAACAACGATGGATAGTATCTTAAGAATGTTTATGACCGATTTAATAATCCCTATCACGTTAAATCCTCTTGGAAAAAGAATCTTTTTTTTTTTTCTATTTTTCGAGTAAGTACATGAAGATTTTATTTATACTTATTGTTAGTGTATTTAATAAAACGAAACGAAAAGGTCTGACTCGTTTACCTACATTTTGAAGAAAATATGTTTATTCATATATATATATAGTATGTACGTGGTAATATCTTCAATTAGAATTTAAAAATCCTTGTGACATTTTTTGTATAGAAAAAAAGATAGCATATAATTATATAAAATGAATATGGAGAAAAAAAGATCACGTAAGTGATAATTAGCACGGATCGAGATAACAAAGAAAACAAAAAAAGAGGAAAAAGAGGACAAAAAAATAGAGTGACCATACTTGATAAAAATGAATAAGAAACGTTCTACGTAATATCGAAGTGATAATTTGTAAAGCAATTTATTGATCGATTTATTTCGTTACTAGCAACAAATTGAGTCTACGAAATATTATTATTCCTTCAAGTTACTAACATGCCGCTCCGATTACCATCTCGCCTTTTTCTCGTCAACGTCTCGATATGTAATAATTAATGAAATTAATAGTTGCATACGCAGCTCGAAGGTTACTAAGAAATTGCTATGATTCCGCGAGTACACCTATTCGTTATGGTTAACCTAGTAATTGGATGTTCCGCGAAGGCACGCTACGTGAGTTTAAATGTAACACTACGAGATTCGTTTACTTTAAATCAAAGCTTAGGAATCCTATTGAATTTTGTATTGAACTAGAGCAATCTCCTAAAATTTCTTTTGAAGGAATAGAAGAACATAAAAATATCTAAGAGAATACTTAAGCGTTTTTAATAAAAATAGTATACAAATTGTAATAGCATTACAACATCATGGACGTTTCATTTTGTTGAGAATCTTAAGAATCACATTCGGTCTGTATCTCCCAAATTCCACTTCTCGGTTCCCTTCGTAGGTCTCTGATAACGATCGGCCTATTATTATTAACTCTTTGGATGTCGGAATCCTCATCGTCCGTCGAGTGTCCGTCTCTAATAGTTCTTCTACGTTTTTTCTTTTTAGCGCTGGGTGTTTGCGGTCTCGGTCGACCTTTGTTACTACTTCCAGACTCTTCAAGTTCCTCTATGGCAGTGTTTGTCCTTCTCTGTCGACGAGTAGATGAAGATTTAGACCTTGTAGGATTGGTCACCGGTGTTGGTCTTTCTTCATTATCAGAAACGTTACCAGCCGAGTTACTCCTTTCTCTTCTTAGTCTTTCAACGCGTCGCTCTTCTCTTCTCAACAAATTATCCTCACTTTGAGTTCTCTTTCGCGGTCTTCTCGATCTTTTTCTCTTGTTTTGTAAATTGTCGACAGAGCCTAGTCTAGTCAAGTAAACATTCTCTGTAGAAACTTCGTTTAACGTATCCAGGGAATGCGTTAATCTTGGCATCTGAACAGCTTCCTCGTAAGTGGGTGGTCCGATCAATTCCATAGGATGGATCCTTGGTTCCGGTGGTGTTTCCGTTCTTTCCTGTCTTTGTTGATTCCTGTTAAACCAAATTTATTATATCAACAAAATTTCTGGTAATATGATTTTTGTTCTGAAGGTAAAATAGTTTTCTATTATTGGTTGTAGTTAAGATAGAAAATAATTATCAACAGCCGATAAGAAAGGTAAAACATTGTAGGTAAAACAGTATTGTTTGATTTCAAACAGGTAAAGAAAGAAAAAATGTTACCTCTGTTGTAAGAGTCTCAGTCTTTCAATACCCTCCATTCTATCGATACGATGTCTTTCTTCGATAGCTCGTCTTTTCATTTTGATTGCGTGTTTGATGGACGTAACTGTACCCACCATAATGATTAACACAAACACGCACATCAAGAAAAAACCCCATACTCTGTTATTACTGTACACAAGTTCTCCGTTCCAAAGGTTGTAACAGGCACTCTCCCAAGTGTAATCGGAGACGTTCGCAGGACTCTGACAGATCAAAGAGTAAGACAACGCTTTTGCAGGTGGATTGGTCAAATATTGATAAGTTAAGTATAATTGCATGCAATCGCAACGCCATGGATTATCCTCCAGTCGAATGCTTTCTAATTTGACATTCTTTTGGAAAATATTTGGGTCTATTGCTTCGGTTAAACGATTACCTGGCACCGTTAGAATTGGATAATCATTACAAGTAGAAATAATAATCCAATAATTATATATATATATATAATAATTTTCGGCATGATGCGCTTACCTGAAATATCGATTTGTTCAAGTTCAGGTAATTCGGCGAAACTACTGTTATTTAATTCCATTAGTCTGTTTCTTCGAATATTTAGCCTTGTTAAAGTCAATGATTGTAATCCATTGGGTAAACGTTGTAATCGATTATCATTTAAGTTTAGACTTTTTATCTTGGGCATACCATTTAAAGAATTACTTTTCAATGTTTCTATAAAATTGTAAGATAAGTCCAAAGATGTCAAACGTGACGTCAAATTTGGAAATTGGTATAGACTGTTATAAGAGAGATTGACCGATTTGAGTTCAACGTTGTCAAAATACGTTGAAGAGTGGATGAATTCAAGAGCGTTCATTGACAAATCCAAATGATTAAGTTTTACCAGTCCTTCGAAGGTACTTATATTCAAATGTTCTATACCGTTTGAATTTAAATACAGATGAGTAAGTTGTCTGTTTTTAGCAAAAATTCGATTTGGAAGTAGACGTATCGTATTTCGAGATAATCTGGCGTGTGTCAATGATGGCAAACCATGGAGACCTGGTCTGTCCAAATTACAATTTGAAACGTCCAGTTGTTTTAAATTCAAATGCTGTAGAGTAGAATGCCTACGAAAGTTAAACATGATTATACATTCTTTGAAATTATGATTAGATGCTTACCTTGTACTATAAACGAGGGCAGGATTATTATTCAGACGTAGTTCCTCTAAAACTGGAAAACCAGTAAAAGTATCAGGATTTAAGTAATTCAAAAGACAATTGGACATGTCTAACCACCGTAACTTCTTACTGGATGCCTTTTGAATTATTTTCAACGGATTTCCTTTTAAACTTAGACTCATTAAATCTGGTAATCCTTCCAATGATGTATTGTCAATCTGTTTGATGCCTAGAAAATGAGAAAAAACATACAGATGTAAGGTAATGCTTACAAATGCAAATAATAAATATCTTACCGCAATAACTTGCTTCAACAGCTTGAAGAACATTACTGTTCAAATTTGTTAACTTGGTTAGAGGATTTTTAGATAGGAAAATAATAACGAGAGAAGGCAGTCGATTGATAGATGCTATATTGCTTATATCCTCAATATTATTTTCCGAGATATCTAATTTACGTAAATTTTGTAATTCTCCTATACTCTCCGGCAAAGAATTTAATTGATTTCTAGCTAAGTTTAAAATTTGTAAATCTACTAAACGTTTTATATCATCCGTGATCTCTGTCAATAGATTAGTCGATAAATCCAAATTCTCTACCTGTGGAGTAACGAGTTAATAATTTGAGAGAAATAATGGGACAAACGAAACGAAACTATATTGCAATTGGATGAATTAACTTGAAGATTACTATTATTATATATTATATTTCATAGAAAGACTCACGATATCGGTCACATTAGATGGAAACGTTGTCAGACCTTGTTTCGAACACATGATAATTCTCGGGCGTCGATTCAAATAACACAGACATCTAACGGGACAAAAACTATGAACGAGGGATAAATTTCCCAAGAGATAAATCACTAAATAATGAATCATGAATAGGCTCATCGTTTTTCTGAGCTCCATCTTAATGCACCGGGGATAAGTCTTACGGTTACGAGTTGAAAAATAATGAAATTTGTATCGACACCATCGTTGATTTTAATCACCATAGAAATATCGCTTTAGATCATTCGATTTCACATTTTATTCCATAAAGAAAAATGAACACGAAGTTGACTGGCCTGATCCGAAAGTATTGTTAACGAATTCTGAAAACTACTGAGGACTTATCTTTGATAAGTTATGTGAGGTACGCTGCTACGATATCTCCGTAAGATAAGCGATGTGTAATGGCGCGATTATTCCCTGTGATAGGAAAAAAAGGAAAAAGAGCGGGCATTATGAACGTCATTCTTTTTCATCTATAAATCTAATGGAGAAAGATTTTCTTAAATACAAAACGAACGGCGGAGTAGCTTTCGGTGCTGATACAGAAAACGGTTCGTTTGTAAAACCTTTAAAAATGGAAATTCGAATGATGCAGTCCTGCGGAAAATATAAGACATTAGATAAATACCTGAAGCATTCGAAAAGCCGATATTGAGGCTGCTAGCTCTTCGGTATAAGCCTCTCTTGGCTGACCCATGCGGATATTTTCTCTTTCCATTTTTTTTTTTTACCGTCGCTGTATTACGACCTTTTCTTCCTCCTTCTCTACGTCGATCCGACAGAAGCATCTATGATACTTCTTCGGTAGTTTCTCCTTTTTGTATTTTCTTTTTTTTTTGAAATAATAGCTACTTCTAAGGATTAGATCGATAACACGTGTAACATCGATCAGGAACAAACTTCCCTTTCGACGTTTCCTTAATACCTGAAAAGATAAATCGCGAAGAAAAAGGAAGTAATTTTCATTCGTTTAATTGTTCTATCTTCAAATTCATATTATTATTTATATTAAGAAACAAGCTCCACCCTTTGCGAAAGGTAAAAGATTGAAAAAAAGTTGTATTCGCGCAGGACTGGTCTCTCTCTTTTTCACACGTCCACTCGGACCAATGAGAAGAGTAGGTCACACCCTCCAGGGAGGGTGCCAGAGGTTTAGCTAGCGCCGGCGCTTAGCCCTCGGCTTATCCGGTGGGGACGAGAACGGGCTTGTTCTACCTGTTGATATTAAACCAACCCCTTCGCTACGATTTCGCAAATCCGGACTTCCACACCGGACTCTTGGTCACGCCCTCAAATTTCTGATGCTCGTACTGCTGGAAGCTGGTGGGAGGAAAGATCAGGGAGGAGATCATCAAATTTTTCTTCATTTTTCTTTCTGGAATTCATACAAATATTTTTAAAGATATCCCAAAAGAAATTTCATTAACTAAACTTGTTCGTGTTTTTCAGTGTACCTTTGGGACCGCATTTAAT